TATCATCAAGTAGATTTGAATTTATTTTAATTTAGTAATTGATATAAACTCTGCGAACCACAGATTACAATCTGTGCCTTCTGTTGCGCCGTAAACGTCATACTGGCGACTGTCATACTGGCGAGTCACAATAGCGGCCTACCACCGCGCACCTGTTTTGCTCATGCCAAGCTCAAAATTTCCTCCCTTGCTACACGGGAAACAAAACTTAGTTGTTTTAACTTCAATTTGACAAATATTTAGTTACCTTGAATAGTACTCAATCAATCATTACTTAAAATCCCGGCATTCTTTTAAAAACACCCTGTATTTTCTGTGGACACCTGCATTCCATCTTTTCCACTCATATTGGTTATTCATCGTTTAAAAAGCGTCCTCAGCAATTACTGTTTTGTCGTTTGGCATTCACCCAGCCACAGATGTGTAATTATAATTAATTATTATTGTCCAATGTTTCACTAAATTTAAAAACTTTCTTGGCAATTTATAAAGAGTATTCGAATATCCATATATATGACACAAAACCAATAACAAGGATACAACTGGAAAAAGAATATACATATCTATTTAATATTTATATGTATATATGCGACATTTTCTTTTTGCCACCCTACACAGTGGTGAACACAACGTTGTAGGCTACCAGTTTTTCTTGTCAATGTTGGAAGAAAACCAGTGGCTCTCTAAAGTGATAATCTAACTATTATAATTGTAAGAAAATTGCAATATAATAATAACATCTTAAATATAGTATTACTTTTCAAAATTAATCCAAAGAAAATCAAAATTACTGTGGCAAGTGTCATTTATGTGAATTAACCAGCTGTACATTATTTCAACAATGGACATGGACTTCCAGAACTTCAACCCTTGCCTCTACACAGATCCTGCCAACTCTTTGCAGTGTTAACATCACTTTATAGGATATTGTGCTTGACTTAAATTAAATTCATCCCAAAGTGTAATCTAAATTTAAATTGTTTTAAATCAAAAGTATTAGGGACAAGTGCCTTGAAAAGTACCAAATTTTAACCAACCCCTATTTTATTTATTGCATGTGGTACAAAGGTGAAGACAGAGACTCCAAATTGGTAACCATCATCCATCTCGTTTAAATCACTAACTAAGGACAAATCGTCATTGGACATTTTGAATCAGCATAGCCTAATAGGCCCAATTATAACTTAAACTCATCAAGATCTACATATTTCAAATTTAACCTTTATTCCAAATTTACACACACATATATTATATACAGTACAGCATATGAGTTTGAATTAAGTGTGTATTGTCCTCTGGGGCTCTTAAAATGAAGATAAAAATCGGTTCCGGGTTTAGGTCTTACCATGAGATCTACGGTAATAGATTATTCCTTATTATGGGAATTTCGTTAAAAGTCTCAATTAGAGGTGACGGTATCCCTGGTTTTATGTAGTAGTACCTGGGAACCAAGCCATGACAGGGTAGTGGTATTAGTTTATTTCCATTGAACCCCTACATTGAGTAATCTTCAGTGTAATCTTTGCTCAATAGTAACAACTGGTGTTTTCCCCTTTGCACTGCATTCGTTAATTTGCTCGTAAAACCTTGGTGGACATAACAACACACTACAACTTAAAATAGTTCTATTAGTCTATGGTCATGGTTACTTGGAAACCAATAAGGCCAATGTTAAAAATTGTAGACTTTCAATTCAATTTTGTCGCGTAGTTAGTTTTTTGCTAGCAGTTTTAACTGCAGTAAACACGTTTTTAGGCCAGATATAAATTATTTATCAAATTAGAAGGAAATCGTATTAGCCGTTTTCGATATATAGAGGATTAACAATCATTAGTAATTGAACGGCGCAAAGCGAAGCTCTTATACTACTCTCCTCTTTTTGTTTTACAAATACCTCCTGAACGGCTGAAGCGATCTACACGAAATTTAGCACGATCATAGTAACCAACCATGGTAATGTATAAATCTTAAATGGTACAAATTGGACCACAGGGCTTTTCCCTACGTGAATTTATTTATTTTTTTAATTTAACATGGGCCTTATGGGTTCATTGGTTGCTATGACTTTATTTGCGAGATAACACTAAAAAGATAAACAAGAGTTGCCACATATGTTAGTCAAAGAATCGTTTAAAAAGTACATTACCGTATAGGACACAGAAAAAGGGAAGAACAATAAGATTAATATCATTGAGCATAATTTACTACAAAATGAAAACAACCAATAATTATGGTCGCCAGAATAAGGCTGAAACACCTTAGGCTTTAAATAATCTAAATATCCATTACATTTTAACCAAATATAAGCCTACCATTGAGTTATATTTCCATTTAACTTGCAATTCCAAGTAGGCTTTCCATTTCAGTGAACTAGACTTACAATTAAATAATGCAGACTTTGAATAGGTACTGCAATAATTAGGACTTCCATTAATATGAACCGAAGATACCACTGAGTTTAGATGCTGCAAGTAGACATTCCATTGACGTGAACCAGACGTAACATTGACTTAATATACTGCGAATCGGCACTCCGTTTATGGGAATCAAATTAACCATTTCTTTGGATCCTGCAAGTAGACAATTTATTTATGTGAACGATATGTACCATTGAGTTTGTATACTTCAAGTAAACAATTCGTTTAAGTGAACCCGACGTATCATTGACTTTGAATGCTGCAAATAGGCATCTTATTTATGTGAACCAAATGGACCATTGACATTGGATACTGCAAGTAAATTTCTCATTTTTGTGAAGCTGGCGTACTATTGATTTAGGATACTGCTACTGCAAATAGACATTTAATTTATGAGAACCAGATGACACATATATACTTTGAGGTAGACAATACATTTAATTGAACCAGACTTGTAATTGACTTTGAATAACGAAATTAGACATTGCATTCATTTGAAACAAAATATATACTAATGAGATTGGATACTGCAAGTATACATTTCATTTACGAGAAACATATGTAACATTGACTTTAGAAATTATTTGATTATTATGGCTGCTATCTGCTCAATGTTGCAAGCAGTTGTCTGCTTCATGTTCATGTGTCTGCTTCATGTGTCTGCTTCATGTGTCTGCTTCATGTGTTACTGTGAAACACAGGAACGTTTCTCATCCAAAGTCCCCGTGCGATCTCTAGTGTTCACTTGGTAATACATGTGTATTACAAAGTATACGGTGTTTTCAACTCCCCACGTGAGTGTTAACGTTTCGTAAAAAGTACAAGTTCCTGTATAAGGTAATGTTGTTCTTTTTGCGAAAGACTCTAAAAGTAATGAAAGGACATTTTTTATTTACATTTATTTCGATAACAAACAAGTGTTTTTGACATATAAATAAATTTGTTTGCACAAAACTTGTGTGTATTACGATCCCCCCCCTAAAAACTGTTTTTTTAGTAGTACATTTTAGGGAAAAATAATACCTTTACCATTCACAGACATATTATAATCTTTTAAAAATTATATATTTTCCGGGTAGTACATATGCTAGTTATTCAATATCAAACAGTTCAATGTCAAAATACATATTTTTTAATACAACAAATGGTTTATATGCAAAACTTGACCAAATACACACACAAACTGCAGTTGGTAAAAGAAATATATTATTTACATTGTATAACTTAAAATAAATAACTCTTTCATATTGGAAACAGTTTACAGTAAAATAAAAACAAGCCCATGGGGCGTAGCCCAAGGGAAATATGAAAATTAAATGATATTATATTGCATTGTCTTCCATTTGTGGGCTATGTTTCAAGTTTCAAGTCTCTAGCTCATCGGGAAGTTAGTATAAAATTGATTGCAAAATTTGTACCGGACAAGAAAGCGAGCTAATAAAAACGTTTTAATAAACTTAAATAACAACAAAAAATGTTATTTACCAATTATTAGTGTTAATACAATTAATTATAACAAATAAGTAATAACGGGGTGTCAAAAACACCCCACGCGAGTACATACGTTAGTAAAACTTGCGCGAGTAGTTAAAGGTTAAAGTACCTTTAGCATAGAAGTAAGAAGTATATCAATTAATTAATCTGTAAGTATATAACAAAATTACATAATCGTTTGACAGGCGACGGTAGGTATATGGATACAATGATGCGGCAAAGGCTGCTGACATGGAGCGGACAGCGCAGGAACTTGTGGCGCTGACTGTACTACACATTCCACTTGGAGATATGAGACTCGACTCAACTTTTGGAGTTATGACACTCTGCTTTAATTTTTACTTGGACTTATGAAACTTTGGAGTTATGATATCTTGGACTTATGAAACTTTGGAGTAATGATCACTTGCACTTATATTTTTCTTGGAGTAATGAAATTATCCCTTTTCGGGTACTTGTAGTTTTGAAACTTTGGATTAAATATAATTTGGAGTTATGATCTCTTGGACTTATGAAACTTTGGAGTTATGATCACTTGGAGTTATGAAATCTTGGAGTTATGAGATGATCCCATATTATTTACCTTTAAGTTTCTTTCCGTTTGTACTTAAGTCTATGATGGTGATGGTATATTTTTTGTTGAAAACGTTTCATTCGGAAAATAGAGACGAATAAGTCACACAAATAAACTGCAGATGTTAAGATTTTTTTACTATATATTGTTGAAAATTTAATGTAACTAAACACATATTGTTCACAGAAAAACAAATAACTAAGAAAACTTTGAGTCGTTTCATGGTGAAAACATCGCAATAAATGGATACTATATAAATATAGACAAAAACATTTGGTGGATTTCAACAACTTAAACCATAGCCTACACATAAATACACATAAAGAAATTTGAAGAAGAAGTAAAGTTGCACAAAAGACTTAGTGCTTTGAATATAGCATAAATTGTTAAATAACAGTTTTGTCAGCTTGACATAATGTGTAGAACAATTTGAACATTACCAATCCATTTGATGCAATCGTCGATAAGATAGAGTACAGCTGTTTATGTCGTGAGAGTCGTTACTCTAACTCGCGATGCTGAAGAATACGAAGACGATTTGTTTGGAGTTCTGTGCCAAGTCATCTCTCCACGGGGTTCGATACCTGACTGGTGGCTCATTAGAGAGGATGGTCTGGTCGCTGCTACTGGCGACCATCAGTGTAACGCTGGTGTGGACGGTGTACGACCTCTGGCTCATGGTCTTCAGAGGAGTGGTCATGGTGGTCGTGGAGAACCCCCACGTGGAGCTCACAGAAGTGGAGTTCCCGGCCATCACTATCTGCCCAAACAACAAGGTGATGAAGAACAAAGTCGAAGAGGTTGTACAGAAGTACGCTGATGACGAGGAAACCCATAGGGCAATTAAAAACTCCATTATAGCTATGTCATTGGCTAGATTTCCATTCTATAACATGCCTCAAGATTACTCACGCTTGGTGAACGGAAATATCTACCCTGTACCTGAGGAGGATATTGTGGATATTATGAAGTTCGTTGGACCGGATGTTGATGATGTATTTGCCCGATGTAAATGGAGATCACCATATTACGACTGCAGTAACCTTTTTCGTAAACAATTGACTGAAGAGGGGTTCTGCTTTTCTTTTAACAGCCAAACAGCAGAGCGTTCTGAACACGATCACCCGGAAAAACCACCTCTCATGACTCCAGAAGGAGCTTTGGTAGGAGTGCGGACCAACATGTTCGGCAGAAGATCCGGTCTAGGATTTCGTGTCAAGTCCCTGGCCGGGAAGGTCTTAGACGATCTGTTAGGGGACGGTTATTCGGTGATCGTGCACAACTCCAAGGTACCTCCAGACCTGACCACGTCAATGACTGTTCCTACAGACAATCCGTTCAAAACATTCGAGGTCGACATCACTGTGAAAATCGTCGAAGCGGACAGTTCACTATATCACCTTGACGAGAAAGTGAGGGATTGTGTCTTTGACAAAGGTGCCAAGGGACTCGACGGGTGTTTGTCAGAATGCAGGATCAATACATTGCTAGAGCTGTGTGGTTGTGTCCCTTATCACAGAGCAGTATTTCGGCCCTCAGCTACAGTCTGTGGCCTTGGACATCTCGAGTGTCTGAGAGACGTCAACTTGCGGCTGAGAAGTGCAAGAGTGACTGAAGGCACGCCAGGGTTCCCGTCATGGACTAACCCAGTTAGTATGAACTGTACCTGTCTGCAGTCGTGCACCTACACTCACTACTCCGGGGAGATGGAACCCATCCCTTTAGTGATCTCAAAAAAGCAAGAACAAGGATGGACAAGACTCCGGGTGATCTATAAGAACTACGCTGTCAAGTACACCCGAACTGCCAAGTACGTGTTTAGAGACCTCGTTGTGGGGTTTGGGGCAGTTGCTGGTGTTCTGCTGGGCTTTAGTACAGTGGCTGTTTTTGATTTTACCATTTACTTTTGTAAGTTTATTATTGCGTTGTTTAAAGAAGTATTTAATGGAAAGGGCCTACTTAAGAAGAATCATGCATTGAAAAGGAAGAAACCAGACGCGGATAGCAACGAAGAGTCAGAACATTTTAAAAGCATCTATTCATCCTACTATAGAAATGTTGATCATGTTGAGAGAAGATACAGACATCGGAACGACGAATTTTGGGAACTGAGTGTGAAACAGGATAAAAAATTCCGTAAATCGTTGTTCAATAAAGCTGGAAAGCCTATTCAGCCATTCTTAAACTAGTTTTCTACTCGAATGGGCTCAGTTGAGATTAACTATTGAGTAAGTAAACACTAATTAATTAAATTATATAAACTTTCAAGACATTGGTTTATGCAGCAAATAGCTTTGTTTGGATGTTGATTGCTTGGATAAACAAATTCAAATTAAATAACACTTTTCTCACTTGTAATAAAGGGTTTACTAAGAATGTGATGGTTTTTTTATATATTGCTAAGTTTTACTGTAGGTAAAGCAGCCCTGACATTGCAGTCAAAGCAGGAATATACATATTTAACAGTCACTATGAGACGAAACAAGCTGCAGGGGTTAACTTGTGAGTTTGGGAGCTTACTTTGAACTGCAGTTCTGAAAGCGGTTAATCAACTTTTAACTTGTAACAAGAGTGTTAAATTCCTAAATTGTTAGAACGTAAATTGCACCAGCTAACACAATGTGCGGAACAAAGCAAATTCATAGCTATAAATTAGCTATAAAGGGATCAAAGGAAATCGTGTACTTATGATCACGCTGCGTTGTAAATCAATAATTAATGATCACGAACCCTTAACAATATAATATCAGAAATACTTACACATGTTCATAAGAAAATAACTGAACTGATGGTACTTGGTTTTCATATTAGTTTATTGTAAAGATGAGCTATTGACTAAATTTCGACGATATTTAACTAAACAAACTTCATAACAGCGAGGATTTCACATTAAGAACACGGTCAAAATTGTTACTAACTGTTCTAAATTTATTTGTACTGGTATAAATTATATTTGATCCTTTTACTTGAAATTTACCAAATGTGATATTTTGACGGTGTATGGACGTTTAATCAATACCAATTATTTATGTTCAGGTTTTATGGCGATGTCATCTCCTATTAGTTAGTTTGCTTGATAACTATGTGTTGTTATATTTCTTATTTGCTCATTAGGTCATTAATGTATGAATTTCAATGTACCACTGAAATTTCATGGTAACTTCCTTTTATTATGTGTGCTTTAAACATATTTTATTTTGTGTAAAAACCAAAATAAACTAAAAGAAACCGATTAGTTAATACATTTTGCAATTAAAATAAGCAGTAAACAATATTTTTAAATAGATTTTTAATGAAAAACGACATTTTAGGTCTTAAAATTATGGCACAAGCATTGACTATACACAGAAATAACAAAATCTTTATGTTAAATGATTCCCTGTTTTACAATTATTATATGTTTAATTGTTACCTCGTAATAAGTGCCTCTAGTTGCAGCTATGTAGTTGGAGCTGACATAACAAGACAAGAACAAAAGAAACTTGTTATTCGTGTCAAACAATGAGCTGCCCCATTTGCTTCAACATCTTACTTGTGCAACCTACATTCTACAAAATAAAGCCAATCAGTAGAACGTCTAATATCTATCTTCAAGGTGTTACTGCAGTAACCGTTCTATGCAATGTATAAAATGTCAAAGTGTTTCTAGACGATTACTTAGTTAACGCTAAATATTAATATTTGTAAAAAAATGTGTATGTTTTTTACTGTATGTATTGTTTCTCGACATTTACCTATCAATATATATAATACGTGAAGCCGTTTTTTGTTAACGCAACTCCTCCCTTATTTGTGGACCAATTTCAACGTTTGAGGTGTCAAAAGATTCGTCTCAATATGTAGTTTTGCAATAAGGTTTTAGAACTTTAAATGTCCTGCTCTTAAGGGCGTGAGACCCTCTCAAAGGTCGGGGTTTTCCCATAAGAAATACATAGAACAAATTTAAAACAAAAAAACAGCTGTTTATAAAAAGAAACTCATTAGCTTTTTGGGAGTAAATATTGATGTTTGTATATTCAGTAGGTTAAGACCAAGACCAAGTTAAACAGTTAATCAGTTTTTTTTAAAGAACAGAAAATGCCTCAAGTTCAAAGAAAAAATATTGAACACGGGAGGAGGATCTTGTGCGTATGAGGAGGGTAGAAAAAGAGAGTCCTGGTCTAACAGGTACCCATCCAGATATACATACATTCACTTGGTAAGATGAATAAAAATTGCCAGTTCTGCTATGCAACTTACTTTGGAAGTGAAAAAATATACGAAGCTCATAGTGTTGTCACGGTGGGAAAGTAAACTTGCCTAATGTCAGATCAAATGAATGCATGCAAGAAATGTTTACTTCAGATACTGACACATTGAGATATTTCAAAACATTTAGTAGAAACTATAATAATGCCTTGACTATAATAAGTTCAAGTAGTAATATTATCCCAAATCTTGGCGGACCTTATGTTTTTATTGTACACTTTTGTATTATTCCCTCTACTTCTTGAGAAAAAACGTAAATTGATTGTTTACTACTATGTTAAGTTGCCAGTTCCTCGGACAAACTTATACAACGTTTTTTTGACTGAATTCACCAACACAATCCAAACATTTCAAGTAAAAAATGAAAAGTTTCTAAAACTAATTAGCTATTGAAAATTTTAGTGGCGATATTAGACCATACATAACTGAAGGAATTAGTTTAAGTATTGAACGATCGAGTAGTTACGGTCAAGTTTATTTTGATAATTCAGGAGAGGCAAATAATATATGATGTTCAAAAAGAGAAAATGTAAATTGTTATCCAAATATTATAGCTACAAGAGTTATCAAACCTATTTCGACAAATGTATACATACTTTTAAAACTTTGGGACAGGTATTTAGAACAACTGCACTCAACAACGTGAGAACGTTCTGATGCGGGACATATACCGTAATTGACAGACAAAACGTTAAATTACGTTAACCAACTTTCAATGGTGTTGCTGCTTTAGCCTATTCAAAGCAGATTATGGCTATCCGCAGTTGGTAACCCAGAGTTTGTGGGTAAAAAATGGAGCACATGAAATAGTTGACATCACCCCACTTTTCAGGTTACTCTACGGAGAAAATTCGTTTGATCGGGATGTCTCAAATAAAAGAAATAAAAGACCCAACTTTAATTACTTAAGACAGGTTTTTAGTAAGGTAACAGTGTTCTTCAATTTTCAATGCTGGAAAAACTTTGTTGCAAGATGTTAACTTGAATTGAGACATATCGTTTAGCACTCATTAGAAGTTAGGTATCAGTTAAAACTGAGAGCAGAAATAATGTAGGTGAACCTTGACGTCAATAGAGATATTTAAAATTAGTTTCTAACCAGTTTTCAAACAACTCCAAGATGTAACTAAAGTTACTCGAATTTAAGCATAAGGTTTTCCTCGGCGTTATGTTTCATACTATGCGGCTCATTGAGCCGCACGGGTTCTCTAGTTATGCTATAATACATGTTTACGTTTTACACCACATTATATGTGTTACAACCCTTTTTTAGACTTTATTGAGGGATTTGGCTGATGTCGTGTAGAACAATGTATACAAACCTACATTAATGCAACCTATGTATAGTCAGTGAGTCCCATACGATTTATCCCACCCGCCGCCACTGACTATTAAGTATGCAGATTGGTACGTCTACATGGAGCCTAACCACTCAGAGGGTCGATAGTTCGGCATTGCGTTGTTAAACCGTATATAGGCAGGCCGTATAGACCGTGTAGAAGGCAGACCTACATTCATGCAACCTATGTATAGTCAGTGAGTCCCATACGATTTATCCCACCCACCGCCACTGACTATTAAGTATGCAGATTGGTACGTCTACATGGAGCCTGACCACTCAGAGGGTCGATAGCTCGGCATTGTGTTGTTACATGGTATATAGTAGGCAGACATACATTTATGCATCCTATGTATAATCAGTGATCATATGGTATTCATATGGAGGATTAGAACAAATAAAGAATTACGTGAGGTCTACAAAGATCCGGATATTACTGCATTAATTAAAAGCCAAAGATTTCGATGGGCAGGACATGTCTCCAGGAGACCTGAAGAGTCAGTCTTGAGAACAGTGACGGATGCTGTACCTGTAGGAAGAAGACCTTTAGGACGCCCAAGGCTGCGATGGTGGGACCAAGTCCGGAGGGATATGAGAAGGATGTCCGTTACAGAGGAGATGATGAAGGACCGAGAAAGATGGCGCAAAGCTGTTGGAGAGGCCAAAAACCTGCTTAGGTTTGAGTGGCCAGCTAGGTAAGGTAAGGTATGTATAATCAGTGAGTACCATACGATTTATCCCACTCGCCGTTACTGACTATTAGTATGCAGATTTGTACGTCTACATGGAGCATAATCACTCAGAGGGTCGATAGCTCGACATTGCGTTGGTACATAGTATATAGTAGGCAGACATACATTCATGCAACCTATGTATAGTCAGTGAGTACCATACGATCTATCCCACCCGCCGTTACTGACTATTAGTATGCAGATTTGTACGTCTACATGGAGCATAATCACTCAGAGGGTCGATAGCTCGGCATTGCGTTGTTACATAGTATATAGTAGGCAGACATACATTCATGCAACCTATGTATAATCAGTGAGTACCATACGATCTATCCCACCCGCCGTTACTGACTATTAGTATGCAGATTTGTACGTCTACATGGAGCATAATCACTCAGAGGGTCGATAGCTTGGCATTGCGTTGTTACATAGTATATAGTAGGCAGACATACATTCATGCAACCTATGTATAATCAGTGAGTACCATACGATTTATCCCACTAGCCGTTACTGACTATCAAGTATGCAGATTTGTACGTCTACATGGAGCATAATCACTCAGAGGGTCGATAGCTCGGCATTGCGTTGTTACATAGTATATAGTAGGCGGACATACATTCATGCAACCTATGTATAATCAGTGAGTACCATACGATTTATCCCACTCGCCGCAACTGACTATTAAGTATGAAGATTGGTACGTCTACATGGAGCCTAACCACTCAGAGGGTCGATAGCTCGGCATTGCGTTGTTATATAGTATATAGTAGGCAGACATACATTTATGCATCCTATGTATAGTCAGTGTGTCCTATACAATTTATCCCACCCAACGCCCCTGACTATCAAGTATGCAGATTGGTACGTCTACATGGAGCCTAACCACTCAGAGGGTCGATAGCTCGGCATTGCGTTGTTACATAGTATATAGTAGGCAGACATACATTTATGCATTCTATGTATAGTCAGTGAGTCCCATACGATTTATCCCACCCACCGCCACTGACTATTAAGTATGCAGATTGGTACGTCTACATGGAGCCTAACCACTCAGAGGGTCAATAGCTCGGCATTGCGTTGTTACATAGTATATAGTAGGCAGACATACATTCATGCAACCTATGTATAATCAGTGAGTACCATACGATTTATCCCACTCGCCGCCACTGACTATCAAGTATGCAGATTGGTACGTCTACATGGAGCCTAACCATTCAGAGGGTCGATAGCTCGGTATTGCGTTGTTACATAGTATATAGTAGGCAGACATACATTCATGCAACCTATGTATAATCAGTGAGTACCATACGATTTATCCCACTCGCCGCCACTGACTATTAAGTATGCAGATTGGTACGTCTACATGGAGCCTAACCACTCAGAGGGTCAATAGCTCGGTATTGCGTTGTTACATAGTATATAGTAGGCAGACATACATTCATGCAACCTATGTATAATCAGTGAGTCCCATACGATTTATCCCACTCGCCGCCACTGACTATTAAGTATGCAGATTGGTACGTCTACATGGAGCCTAACCATTCAGAGGGTCGATAGCTCGGTATTGCGTTGTTACATAGTATATAGTAGGCAGACATACATTCATGCAACCTATGTATAATCAGTGAGTCCCATACGATTTATCCCACTCGCCGCCACTGACTATTAAGTATGCAGATTGGTACGTCTACATGGAGCCTAACCACTCAGAGGGTCAATAGCTCGGCATTGCGTTGTTACATAGTATATAGTAGGCAGACATACATTCATGCAACCTATGTATAATCAGTGAGTACCATACGATTTATCCCACTCGCCGCAACTGACTATTAAGTATGAAGATTGGTACGTCTACATGGAGCCTAACCACTCAGAGGGTCGATAGCTCGTCATTGCGTTGTTATAGAGTATATAGTAGGCAGACATACATTTATGCATCCTATGTATAGTCAGTGTGTCCTATACAATTTATCCCACCCAACGCCACTGACTATCAAGTATGCAGATTGGTACGTCTACATAACTCCTTATCACTCAGAGGGTCGATAGCTCGGCTTTGCGTTGTTACATAGTATATAGTAGGCAGACATACATTTATGCATCCTATGTATAGTCAGTGAGTCCCATACGATTTATCCCACCCAACGCCCCTGACTATCAAGTATGCAGATTGGTACGTCTACATGGAGCCTAACCACTCAGAGGGTCGATAGCTCGGCATTGCGTTGTTACATAGTATATAGTAGGCAGACATACATTTATGCATCCTATGTATAGTCAGTGAGTTCCATACGATTTATCCCACCTAACGCCACTGACTATTAAGTATGCAGATTGGTACGTCTACATGGAGCCTAACCACTCAGAGGGTCGATAGCTCGGCATTGCGTTGTTACATAGTATATAGTAGGCGGACATACATTTATGCATCCTATGTATAGTCAGTGAGTTCCATACGATTTATCCCACCTAACGCCACTGACTATCAAGTATGCAGATTGGTACGTCTACATGGAGCCTAACCACTCAGAGGGTCGATAGCTCGGCATTGCGTTGTTACATGGTATATAGTAGGCAGACATACATTTATGCATTCTATGTATAGTCAGTGAGTCCCATACGATTTATCCCACCCGCCGCCACTGACTATTAAGTATGCAGATTGGTACGTCTACATGGAGCCTAACCACTCAGAGGGTCGATAGCTCGGCATTGCGTTGTTACATAGTATATAGTAGGCAGACATACATTTATGCATTCTATGTATAGTCAGTGAGTCCCATACGATTTATCCCACCCACCGCCACTGACTATTAAGTATGCAGATTGGTACGTCTACATGGAGCCTAACCACTCAGAGGGTCGATAGCTCGGCATTGCGTTGTTACATAGTATATAGTAGGCAGACATACATTCATGCAACCTATGTATAATCAGTGAGTACCATACGATTTATCCCACTCGCCGCCACTGACTATCAAGTATGCAGATTGGTACGTCTACATGGAGCCTAACCACTCAGAGGGTCGATAGCTCGTCATTGCGTTGTTACATTGCACTAAATCACCTCCTGTCTGATGTTAATTACTGTTGTACATTGATGTATTATCATTATAATGTATCTATGAAATGTTGTGAATACGCTATTATTCTAGTTGTTGGTATGTTGTAATAGTTCGCAGCATAATTCTCGTTATACAAAATCTTCTTGATAGGTTCATAAACTGTATTGATATCTCAAAATACAATAAAACCCCCACCACAGCAAAACTTCAAACTAAGTGATTTTTTCAAGTGTCTTATTACGTTTTAAATGTAATTTTTTTATGTAAACAAGTCATATTTGTTCCCCATTTACAGTAAATTATGTTAGATTAGCGAGTACTCAGTTTTGCTGCTATGGGGAAGGGGTTTTTGATGAAATGTTATTAGTATAGGATGAAATAAATAGATTCACCAAATCAGATTAGATATAGGCTATTTATAAATAAGCAAACTACAACATTTTTGTTTTACTATAAGAATAACATCTTGATTACAAAATGCTTCGATATACAATTTTGGGTACTTCAGTATTAAACGGAGGCCACATTTTGTCAGCGCGCTGCGGCGGTTATGTTAGGTTGGGTTATCATAATAGAAAGTATCGTTCGATTCATAACGAAGCGAGGAAAGTCCTACACACATAATATTTACGATAACCAAACCTAACATAACCGCCGCAGCGCGCTGACAAAATGTGGCCTCCGTTTAATACTGAAGTACCCAATTTTGTTTTTGTTTATTAAGCTCTACACGATTGCCTTAAGGTAAATTGGACATTTCCATGTTTAAAGAAAACCGTTTGAAAAATGCCGTTTTTTGAAAACTTGAATCCCGTTCCCATGACCAAAATTTACTATCCAAGACGAATTCACAACGTTGAAAGTATATCCAACTGTAAAATAGTTATTTGTGTAACTAGTGGTGAAAGTGGCACTTTGCTGCACACGAGAGCAATGTTTACGCACGAGCCGCAGGCGAGTGCGGAATGATCTCGAGTGCAGCAAAGGCCTTTTTCACTCGTGTTACACATTATATTTTTCCTACAGTCACTATAAAGTATATAAATAATTAGTCTTTCAAACACTATACAACACGTTTTTAGGTTCAGGTTCAGCTGGCAACACAAATGGTGCCCTAGAGAAAGTAGTACCCGCGGTCCGTATCACTCCGCTATTTTACCTCGGCAAGAAATGTGCTCCGCGTTTTGAGAATATAGTTCCGTATGTTTTTGTAATTTGAAGTGGTTTCCGCGCTAAAAAAATGCTTTAAAGGTATTTTCTTGTTTATTAAGATCGTAGGAATGTTTTAAAATCGTTTAATAGAAAAGTCCAGAAAGTTCAGAAATACCGAAACTATAAACACGAAATGACAGGTTAAATCGTAGTTATAATAGTCAATCAGCTGCTCATACTATTATTATCTTTAAGTGTTGCCAACCTATTTCCAAGCGTACACGGATTACGTGCATAATAGAACCACGCTGTTTTGTGTTGTTTCGTTGGAATCCTGATGTGCGGCAAAGTATAAACCGTACGACAAAGTATAAACCGTACGGCAAAGTATAAATATGCAGCAATTAGCAGCTTTCTGTACTATAAACAGTACAAGGAAGCTAACTTTGCCGGGTGACTGTAGGAAAAAACTATTGCCTACATTTCCTGAAGGGATATTTTATGCATATTAAAAAAACAATTGTTGATATCATTATGTAGGCTAAAAGTTGAAAAAAAATTAATTTAATAAGCGATGTCGAGAATTTTCTTAAAATCAAAAAATTGTTGTTCAGGTAGGAAGATTGACATATAGCAATCTGATTGACATTTGGTATCGCTATTTGTGATCAAAACCATACCTTAAAATATTTGACACGTGCTATTAAACCGCTTGTGTTTATATACAGATAAACATCTATAACGATA